GTCCAAATTAAAATCCAAAAATTCTTGCAGGTGATTTCACAATAAATCTTTATCCCCGAATAAGATTGATGGTATACTCCAGAAGATCTTCATATACCTCAAAGAAAAAATCTAAACATAGTGTATTATCCCAAGTATTATCCCGTAGTACACGTGTCACATGTAGACAAACTAAGGTGCCACAGCAATCATGAAATATCAGGACTCCAACAACTCAATTAGTAACTCCACTACACACAATATAAAAAGTGCATAATTACCCTAACATAGATAAAATCAGCATAGGATCCATAATAAAAATGAGATTGCCTCCAACAACATTGTTCTACCATCTTCTCCAAACACTTCCCATAGACCTCATAAACAGACCAGGGATCAGTATATGTATTAGATGACAAACATATTTTATTGTAGCAACTTACATTAGAATTTGATGAAATCAGCTTCCATATAGTGAGATGGTCCAAATAACCCCACTCCTCAGCGGTAACTATATTTATATGGCCATACCACTCTGAAGGAGAGCCAGGCAGTGAATTGAAGTCTCCAGGGTAGGAACAGCCATGTGTTCCAGAACCCAAAATGGCCGCCACGGCACTTCTGGAAAACGTCAATATGTCACCATGTCACGTGCCCCGTGTTGTTATAATATGCTAGTATGCATTGCACACTAGCACATTATGAAAGACTTACCTTTAAACAAAGCCCTCCAGCGGTGCGCTGTTACTGATGAGAAGGCTTCCATCTTCATCCGGTCTTCCTTCTGAGTAAGCAGGCTGTGGCCACTTGACTGATGACGTCATACAGCTCTGAAGGCACAACACGGGTATGCCTTTCCTGCAGCATGCATGCGCTTGTGACATCACTGGCTGCCGCTCACTAGAATACCCCTTATATGGCGCACGTTTAGGAGATATTCATTTTTCCTACAGGTAAGAGGACAGCGACTTGTGGTAAGAGGACAGCGACTTGTGTGCAGTGTATATAGCAAGTAGGCTCCGGTTCTATTTGACCTATTCTTCTTCAGCCACTCCCACTGGTAGGTGCTATGTCTACATGGCCACCACTAGCCATGGCATGCTAAGCCCCTTTTATTAATTCGCCCCTGGGTATCCTAGGTCTATCACAATCCTAGCAACATCCATGCACCATAGTGAGAGTCCGTATTTAACTTTTCCTAGCTAATAAGCAATGACAGATGGGTGTCAGCGACCTATCTGTGGTCTGCAGGGTAATCCCACAGCTCTGATATCTAATCTATGGTAGTGCAGGCTGCTGGGACTCAGGGCTGTCCATTATTGGCAGATTGATATCAGAAGAGTGGGGGAAGTGGTCTGGAGCAGCTTGAGTTGTCATGGGTCAGAATTATTTACTGTATACTGTGTACTTTTCAATGTGTATTTGATTATTTAGATGGTTCTCAGTTTTTTTGTGATTATTGAATTACTATACCTAACCGATTCCCACAAATTAACGTACCGATATATGTCCTCAGGTTTCAGTGGTTCTACCATGGGCATGGCTGCAGCTGCATCATAACTCTGTTATTGCTTATACAGTGTTTACTGTGTAGGAAATTGTTTTAGCTGTCTTGAATGGGTTTCCCATTTATGAACAGCTTGCTTACAGTTGTGATCTGTGATTGGCTACAGATAATCACATGGTACAGGTAGCCAGGTACCATGTGATTGCTGTGGGCCAATCACAGATCACAACAGTAAGCAAGCTGTTCATGAATGGAAAGCCATTCATGACAGGTTGTTTACATTGTTATCACGTAATTGCTATGACCAATCGTAGCGATTGCATGATACCCAGTAACTGGCTACCAGTAACAGTAGTCCTTTGTGTCCGGTGGACACAACAGTCACAGGATGGGCATGCTGCATGCTCCTAACCGGGAAGAGGCAGAATCACATATATACAGTGGGGCAAAAAAAGTATTTAGTCAGCCACCAATTGTGCAAGTTCTCCCACTTAAAAAGATGAGAGAGGCCTGTAATTGGCATCATAGGTAGACCTCAACTATGAGAGACAAAATGAGAAAACAAATCCAGACAATCACATTGGCTGATTTGGAAAGAATGTATTTGCAAATTATGGTGGAAAATAAGTATTTGGTCACCTACAAACAAGCAAGATTTCTGGCTCTCACAGACCTGTACCTTCTTCTTTAAGAGGCTCCTCTGTCCTGCACTCATTACCTGTATCAATGGCACCTGTTTGAACTTATCAGTATAAAAGACACCTGTCCACAACCTCAAACAGTCACACTCCAAACTCATAGTTGAGGTCTACCTATGATGCCAATTACACTGTTCAACAGGTAAAAAGTTTTGGGCATAAAATTAGCTAATCTTACATAATTTTGGGGTGCTGAAAACGAAAATTACCCTAAAAAATGTTGATTGGCTCTAGTTTCCATGATATATTCACCCATCTAATGACGTAAGCCATTCAAAAATGAGACTTCAGCTGCATATTGCCTGATACTGGTCCAAATTGCTCATACTGAGATGACAGCCTCACAACTGCATAAAAGCTGCAGTATCTGTAGCTGATTGTAGTTCGACAGCGTCTTTACATTTCGTTTTATGATATAGGCTACTCAGTAATGCCTACAATAAAGCAGATCATTTCTGCTATATCTGCGGTGAAATAACTTTTATCTCACAAAAAAGGAGGATAACAGGAATGATTAAGAAAGCCTACAACTTGTATTTTTTGGCTGCAAGATAGGAGACATGACAAGAGCTGTGGCACCACATATATGCTGCAATTCTTGTGGGACGGCACTGGAGCAATGGTTGAATGAAAAAAGGCATCACCTTTCGCTGTGCCAATGAAGAGAGCCAACAGATCATGTTAGTAATTGTTACTTTTGTATGGTGCCTCCCAAGGGCTAAATAAGAAGACACACTATCCAAATATTATCGGCAATACGTCCAGTTCCTCATGGAGAGGGGCTACCAATTCCTAAAGCCAGAATCCTTCGTGGTTGAGTGTGAGGAAGAACCTGAAGCTAGTCACGTGCAGTTGTAAGAGATAGCCCTTTCCTCGAATACAAGAGAAAAGCCAAAGAGAAGCAAAACCGACACAAACTGAAGACAAAACTAGTGAGAATCCTAAGTATTAAAATGATTCAACTTAGCTTATGGCTATAATTTTTCTTGGTAATCCTATGCAATATATATGCCATTTAGGCTTTGTTATGTAGTCAATATCACTTGCTTTATATTTGTGGAAAGACATCTATCTATATAATTATTGTGCATCATGTAGTCATTACGCCTATAGTAGAAAACTTTCCGTTTACAGAAAAACTAGAGCCAATTGACAAATTTCATTGTTATAATTTGAACTCAGAATGTGAAATTCATTAAGAAATGGATCCTTTTGTTTCCAAAACTGGCAAAAAATAAAAATTTGTTGAACAGTGTTACAGGCCTCTCTCATCTTTTTAAGTGGGAGAACTTGCACAATTGGTGGCTGACTAAATACTTTTTTGCCCCACTGTAAATATGTATCTGTGTCGGCAGCTGCCACCCTACACTGTAAATGTTCAGTGGCAGGGCGGCAAGAGAATTTTGCTAATCTTCTATCAAACTCTTTACTATTTATTCAAATAAAGCCTTTTCACCTGTGTGCATTATTCAAATAGTCCAACTCACACTCTAGAGTACTAAATGAACTATCAAAACAGAATCGGCTCCAGATTCTCTCTGCTCCAGTTTTAGTAAATCCCCTCAATGTACTCAGCTATGCCACAGTACAAAACACGTGATGTTGCCAACAAAAAAGTATGGGCAAGACAGACGTGGATTTTGTTTAAGGCTCCATGCACACTAGCATTTTTAAAAAGTTCAAAAGACACTTGAAAAAAATCGTTGGATGAAAACGATTAATAATAGTGTTTCTGTGCAGGTTTGTAGTAGCATTTAGGGCTCATGTACACTGCAGCTGATAAACTCACGTTTAGGAGCTTTTCTGCGTTTTTTTTTCAGAAGCCCCTGAACTCTCCCTAATGTTTTTCTATGTGTCCATGTACACATCGTCGTTTACAGGCAGTTGAGTTTACAGTTGTTTTTTTGAACGCACCAAACTTGTGTATAGGAGTAGATTTTATCAGCGTTTCAAATGCCAAACGCTTGTAAACGTGGCTAACCGTGTTTATAAGCGTTTGCGTTTAGAAGCGTTTTTTAACTGTTCCATGTCCAGAGCTTTTTTCATCATCAGTAATGCATGCAAAGCATTTTGTATTCAAATGGACCCGGAACACCAGCGCAGTCAGTTCCAGGTTTCGCGTGAAGGAAAAAATGGTAGAACGTGCCGCATTATGTTCATGATGGGATCCATAGTGAATACAACCAGAAAAGACAGGTCATCTCAACACATACTGCTCTCTCTGCTTCTGCTCTCTCTATTTCTCTCAAAATGTCTGAAATAGTTAATTTTTTTACGGTTTTTCAGTGCATTCTGGGCATTTGGGAATGTCTCCTGAGGTTATCTTTAAAAAACACTTCTAAACGCGGCTAAACAGATGTTTTTTAAAATACGTTTTCCAGCAGTCAGTTTCCATCATTTAGAAGAGTTTACCAAACGTCCCGTGTACATGGAGTCTTAGAAGTGTTTAGGAGTGTTAGTGTTTAACCAGGTGCCGACCGCAGATAGCTGAATGACGGCTACACTGCGGCCAGCCAGTTCTGGGAGGGCGTCATATGACGTTCTCCCAGAACGCGCACTCCTGAGCGCCCCCGGCGATCTCCGTGATCGCTGTGTCCTACGGATACAGCTGATCACGTGATGTGGTAAATGGCCAATCACAGCGGCCTTTTACCACGTGATCAGCCATGTCCAATGACACGCTGATCACCGGTAAATGCAATTGCCGGTTCTCGGTTGCACTTTCCTCACGCTGTCGGAGCGTGAGGAAAGTACTGCTGAGAACCGGCAGTTGTCAGAGCAGGGATTGGCACCGATCATCGGGGGAACTGATGATCAGTGCCCCGATGATCGGTGCCCAGCAGTGCCACCCACCTGTCCACCCACCTGTGCCCAGCAGTGCGCCCTCCTGTGTCAAGCAGTGCACTCACCTGTGCCCAGTAGTGCGCCTTCCTGTGTCCAGCAGTGCACTCACCTGTGCCACCCAGAAGTGCCACCCATCTATGCCCAGCAGTGCCACCCACCTGTGCCCACCAGTGCCACGCACCCTGTGCCCACCAGTGCCCCACCAGTGCCCATCAGTGCAGCCCAGCAGTGCTGCCAGTCAGTGCCCAGCAGTTGCGCCAGTCAATGCCCAGAAGTGATGCCAGTCAGTGCCACCTATCAGTGCTGTCTATCAGTGCTGCCTATCCATGACACCTCATTAGTGCTGCCTATCAGTGCCGCTTATCCGTGCCATCTCATTAGTGCCGCCTAGCAGTGCCCGTCAGTGCTGCCTATCAGTGCCGCCTATTAGTGCCCATCAGTGCTGCCTCATCAACGCACATCAGTGAAGGAGAAAAATTACCTGTTTGAAAAATTTTATAATAAAAACTATTTTTTTTTTCAAATTTTTTGCACTTTTTTTGTTTATAGCACAAAAAGTAAAGCGCCCAGTGGCGATTAAATACCACCAAAAAAAAGCTCTATTTGTGAGAAAAAAATAATTTCATATGGATACAATCTTGCATGACTGCGCAATTGTCAAAGTGTGACAGCGCTGAAAGCTGAAAATTGGCCTGGTAAAGAAGGGGGTATAAGTGCCCGGTAGGCAAGTGGTTATATAGCATTTTCACAGTATATTAAATAAAAAAACAAAAACCGCTCAAAAAAAGCTGTTAGAAGAGTTTTATAGAAGCATTTAGGAGTATTTAGTTTTTTTTTCTGCTGGAAAAATGCTACCAAAAACTCTACAAAAGCAATTTTTTTGTGCTCCCAAATAATGAAGCTTGAAAAATGCTTCTAGAATAAACTAGCGTGCATGGCCACATAGGATAACACTACAGTATAAGCTTCTAGGGGCAAAAAAAGAAAATTGCTTGTTTAATAGCTTGTAGGAGCTTAAGAAAAGGCTAGTGTGCATGGAGTCTTAGTCTTGGAAGTTCAGGAATGTAAACTTATCTGAACGTGAATAATATGTTATATTGTAAGTGTAAAAAGAAAATCAAGAAAAGGACTCACCATTGAAGCAGATTGTCAGGATTTTGGCTCCATGAAGAGAGAGGAACTGCAATGCAAAGACCAGAAGGAATGCAGCCTGCTTCTTACATGCAGCCATTGTAGTGAGATATCAGAAGCAACAGAATCATTTGTACACTGTGTGTACAGGGGTCACTGACCGCACTGAGACTGGGAGGGATTACAGTACTAGCCACACCCCTTCTGGCTTTATGCCAACATAGGGATAGGTCCAACAGTTCAACTAATCCAAATGAAATGTGTTTCTGGAAGAAAGTACTGACAATAGCTATTCTGAGAAATGTCACTTTTATCAGTGTAAAGTCACAGGTTGTAAAGAAATATATTTTCCTGTTGGCTATCAAAACAAGCCTGTGGCATGCATATTGAACAACTTCGTCCTAATTAAAGGGGCATGCATTCATGAATACCACCACAGAATGGGTGCAGGAGACAATGTGCCTTCTCTTTGGTGTGTTCTGGCCCTGGCATATCCAGAAATCCCATAATTACAAGTGGTTCCAGTACAAGCTTTCAGGCAGAATGACCTCTTGAGAGATTGGTTAGCCAGGTCAAAGTTTAGAACCTCAGCAGTAGATGTTACACATTCCTTTCTGAGTCCTAAAAACACAGCTTCCTACCCATGATTGGCATGCCAACAATGCTCTTTAATGATTAATAGGCATGAACTTTATACACACAACACCTGGGGTTAGTGACACCATTAGACATTACACATGACACTCATCCTTACTGATTTATACATTAGGGTATTTATGTAGGGGGAACCAACCAATAAATCAAGGACCAAGATGCCCAACACCGACATTCAATGTGCGAGTGTCAATTGTCCTTGGCAGTTTCTAAATGTAGCACTCGCCCCCGGAAGGGCCGCTAGAAATAAATTGGTCTTCTCTACGTGTTCAGAGGCTTCCATCCCTGGTACCAACTCTAGAAGAACCTCAACAAAATTCAGGCTAAGTCTAAGGATGTCTTTTAAAGTTTTTTTGCAGATCTTGAAAATAGGCAGGATACTCAAAAACACAGGTAGATTGGAGGGCATATTTCAAAGTCCTGTTACAGCAGTATTGGGCCCCACAGTAGCAGCCCCAAAGCAATGCTGGAAGTAGACGGGTCAGCCAGTTAACCTGAGACAGTTTAATAGCAGTCATAGTCCTTGCAGCAACCTCTGACGTCTAACCCTCAAAGTTAGCTAGGCGAAAGGTCCTATTTATAATATCCAAAGGCAGATCCCAACCAGTTCCCCTGCAATATTCTTCAGTGAAAGCTTTCCTCTCCAGCCCAGCTTCCACCAGTAGTGTCCTCCAGCAATTTTCCTTAAGTCCAGCTCCCTCAGCCATAGTATCTACTGAGGCCTAACAGGCTTAGTTCTTCTGTATCACATGCAGAGGCCTCCTAGGGGGGTGACCCCCAGGTGAGAGACTTCTGATGAGACCCTTTCAATAATGTATCTTCCTTTCAGCCACACCTTCTGGACCTCCCTCGTAGGGATTGGGAACAGTCAAATAAATATTCATAATCCAGTGACTGATCCTCCTACACTCTTTCTGGAACATTCTACCAAACAGAGGCAGAAGCAATCATCTACCAGTTTTTGGGATGAGCCAGATCAGACGTAACAAGCCAAATGCAATTCAGATGGCTACAGCAGAGCCATACACTACATTTAGCCAGCCCAAGGCAGGGGCACTGCATAAACATTTCATTGAACATGGACACTTAGAAATGATTCACAGTGCTAGACCATGTACCTACAGACAGAAGGGGACAAGATATATTGGGGTTGATTTACTAAAGGCAAATAGGCTGTGTACTGCAAGTGCAGTTGCTTTAGATCCGAATGGAAGCTCTGAAATGATGTGAAGCTCTGATGATTTCTTTCATCTAATCATGTGAAAGCAAAAATGCTGTTTTTTTTATTTTCCTTGTATGTTCCCCTCAGATCTAGAGCAACTGCACTTTCAGTGCACTCCTGAGTGCACAGCTTATTTGCCTTTAGTAAATCAACTCCATTATGTTTCAATCATGATGTATTTTGTTAGAAATGAAATCGGTTCACAAGGAATGTGGTTATTAGGCAACATTGCGATTATTTCCACTTCAGCATGTATAAATTCTTTTATATGCGTTTTCAAATACTAGCCATGTGCCCTACGAAACTGTACTTAGATTAGCCTTACAGATTGAACAACTATTATTTAGCAATATTTTTTTACATGTTAAGGGGGAACTTACACAGCAATCTTTAAAGAAAGAGATGACAGCAAAATAGTTCCCAACATCTAGACCCCTGGGTGTGTTCCCACCAAGAAGTACACCTGTACCGTGGAAACTGTCCCCACAAAAGGCAAAGGACTAGTCGCCAGTATTGCCTGTGGTCTCCCTGCATCTGAACTTTTCCCCAATACTGACTTGCAGAACATGCCTTCTCTGCACTGTCTGTGTGGAGGTGGCCATTCTGGTAGAGGAACAGGGATTTGCTTCATCTCAGATCTGGCGACTTAATGAATGGTGATCTGATGATTGACGGGTTAATATTCAAGAAGCAGCATTAGAGGTACATTAAGCACAGATCCAGAGAATGAATAAAGTAGAAGCAGGGAGGTCATTGCATTGCAGGTTCTTAGCTACAGTTTCTTCTCCAGCAAGGAGAACAGTGAGCAGCACAGTAGTGATATCACCAGTTTTCACTCTCCAAAATGAGACTAGCAGTTGAGGCAATAGTGCCTCACACAGCAGATATACAGCTGTAAGGCTTATAAGAGAAGTATTGCCAAAGCATTCTTGGCCATGATTTTCTTGTTAGTCACATAAGTACAATTACTATAGCGTGCTATGAGCTAACAGAGCTGAGTCCCAGGAAGAATCCTGACAATATTGACGGAATCCACCCAGCTGCCTGATTGACAGTTGGCTCCACTTTTCAGCATGTGGCTGAGAGCCAGCCATTCCCACCCACCACTTCCCCCCCCCCCCCAAGCCCAGCGCTTCAGTGAAAACTGGAGGAGCAGAGAGGAGAGTGGTGACTGACAGCCACTGCTATCTGCTCAGAGCAGACCGAGAACTGAGCTATCAGCAGGCAAGGACTGGCCATAGGACACACCGGGCCAGGGCTGCCCTCTCACACTGTAAACGGTACATCTGCACCTTCCGCTGTCCACATAGGACATGGCAGAGTCCAGGGAGCCAGGTCTCTGGTACTGAAGCAGGTGGTGAGGATCCTTTGGGGGATTATAAACTGTGGTTTTTGGCTGAAGGAGGAGCGATCTCATCCAGTACGGGCACTGGGCAAGTAAGAGGAAGCCCATGTCATTTTATTGATATAAAGGAAGGCAGGATATGAGCGGATTGTGTACTGTGAGCGCAGTCAGGGAAATGTCATATTCTTTTACAGTGCCATGTGTAACCAGTGAGCTGCTCTGCCACACAGGTTGTCAGTGCTTAATAGAGGGGAAATGTCACATACTGTGTGATATAACATGACAATAATAATATAACACATAAAAAGACAAGTTGACAAGAGAAATAATGATTTGCAGTAACCTCTAGCAGCCAATCAATTAGCAGTAAGGATGTGCTATAACCTCTAGCAACCAATCAGTGAGCGGTAATGATAAGCAGTAATCTATAGCAACCAATCAGTGAGCGATAATTTTGTTCAGTAACCTCTAGCAACCAACCAGAGAGTGGTAACAAGATGTGGTAGCCGCCTGTAAAAACCCAGCAGAGGAAGACAGAAAACAGAATCTGTTACAAGATGTGTGTAGCCAGATTATGTTTACTACTTCCTTATTGGGTCTGGTGTGGGCCTCCAGGGTGGGACTGTGACATGGGCAGGAACCTACTCTGCTTGAGTAATCCTCCCACTGTAGTGTGTCACCTGTCACAGCACTCAATAGCCAGTGCTCACCAGAGAATTTACATAATTCCATATGATTGGTAGTGACTGAAGCTAAATATAACTAAATGACATCGAGTTATTATTTGTAACTTGGTTAAAAAAAAAAAGCTCAGTCTAAAATGCCCAGGCCTAATTTTTGTCTCAGTCCGGGTCTGGGCCTCTCACATACAGAACGTTTTAAAATTGCTTCTCCTCTTGGTAGCAGGGTCTTGCCAGCAAAAATGCCT